CTTGGGTATACATTTTACACCGTGTTTTGAGGGCATTTCTCTGAATAACACTACCGAGTTTACAAGTTTCAAACGGTTTTCTTAAAGGTATGACACGAATTTTCAACCAGATCGAGGATATGAGGTAAACGACTCAGCCTTTCGTAGGTTTTGGGGATTGCTCCATGCTGTTGCAGAGAGGCGACTGGACGAAGATAGGTTATCCCTCACAAGTCCTGATGTGGTCGGAAGGAGATAGGTTTTCCGAACGAGACCCCCGTTGAAATTCTGTGAGAATCGAGATATTGCTATGAATAATCGACTTGTAAATTCCGAGAGGCCGTCAGGGTGTCCAGGGCTCAGGAGACTCGAAAAAGTTAAATCCCTCGGAGGTCGAAAATTTCAAACCGAATTCAAAAGACGCGGTTATTCAGGTCGGATACCCTGCATTTAACACATAGGTGCAGAGTAGCTCACCACATTCACCCAGTTTCCTAATACGTAAATAAAGTTTAGAAAGTTTATCCGTATGCTTTTATTCACAAAGGTGCAAACGAGCCCACGATCTGGGTCAGTTTATTCTGATCTTGTCAGTTACTTCCACCAGTTATGATCATAATCGCGGTTGTGCATGGAATGAAGCACTCCTAATGATTTTCCGGCCATTTCTTGCTAGTCGGGTATTGGATCACTGGACGCTGATTGAAACGCTTCATCCATATTCGCTATTACAAGCTCCGCAGCCTTGTGCGTTAATGCCGCTGAAAAGGGCCACGAGGCAGTTGCGCTGGACAAACACAGGGGCTAGACCAGCGTCCAGCGGTCGCTGTTAAGAATGCGCGAGTATGACAAATGCCGACAGTGGAGTGTGGTGGCACATTTAGCTGAAGGCTCACACCGCACCAATTGGGATACAGGCCGACCGCTTCTCTTCTCTTGTTGTGCAAAGTCCTGGCCAGTGTACGTTTTGGACCAGGGATTGTGATAGTACTCTTAGGTGCAGATATTCGCCGTGACAGTCATCCATTTCCTCCCCCGCCTCTAGCCGTCTTCACTTTGCCATCTCACCAGACCCAGCGAGATGGGGTAGGAAAGAGTGCATTGAAGGCAGCGCGAGTCCTAAATCACCATAAAATAAATCACGCTTAAGTAACCGTTCCTGCCCCTACCGTGCTGTGAAGCTCATGGTGGACATAAGCGGCCAGACGATCGAGACCTGTCTGCGTTTTTGTCCCCGGAGCGCAGGGGGGGTTCAGTTTTGGATATCACGTAAGAGTCTTTGCAGGTGGCACAATTTACCTCGTGCAAATGGGGACTGCACCCAACATCCCTTAACTGGCAGACAACACTCACGTGTGGATCGTCGAAACTATGCTCTGTCTAGCGACTGCCGCGAACGGTGAGATAAACCCAGTGGGGGGGGCATCCGGTGTTGTATGTCAAAGGTTACGCGGATCAAAACGAATGGAAGAACTTCTCCGCGATCAAAGCTGTCCACGGTCCGCCAACCAAAAGCACCTCTCCCCTCCTCAGCGCCGACGGCAGTACCCACCTGACCGAAAAGAAACAAATTTTCAGCGATTGGCTGAGCACTTCAGAAGCGTCCGACGCCGCCACCGCCCGTCTGTCGCAAGTAGCTATCAATTTCGATGTCGACCTACTTCACTCTCTCCACGCAACCATCAGGGCCGTGCAGCAGCTCTCCTGCAGGAAAGCGCCCGAATCGGACGCGATCCCTACTGAGGTCTACAAGCACGGCGGTCCCCAACTCATGGATCACCCGACGGCGCTCTTCCAGGAGATGTGGCCTCACGCGGAAGTCCCGCAGGATTTCAAGGACGCCTCAATGTCCATCTCTATAAACCGGAAAGATCTTGGATTGTATCTTTCTTAACCGCCTGAACAGTCATCTGGAACAAGGTCTGCTCCTGGAAAGCCAGTTCGGCCTCCGCCGTCATCATCGGACCACGGACGTAATCTTCGCCGCCCGCGAAATCCAGGAGAAATTTCAGCAGATGCGGACTCACCTGCAGTATATCTTCGTGGATCTGATGAAATCCTTCAACATGGTGAACCGCGAACGACTGTGAAAAATCGTGGAGAAATTCAGCTGTCCCGAACGATTCCTTCAGATGATGCGTCATCTTCCCGATGGCATAGTGACGCTAGTCACGGACAACGGAGCTGTTTCGGAGGCATTCGCAGTGACCAACGGAGTGACGCAGGGCCGTGTTCTCGCGCCTACGTTCTTCAGTCTCATGTCCTCTGCCATGCTGATGGACCAAGTCCGTCGCTGCACGGACACTCTTAAGATCTCCCTGAATCGTCTGCAGATCAACCCAGCCAATCGGGAAGACCTCGCCCGAGACCGGCCGACCAAGAGTCGGGCACTGACGACAGGCGCAGCGATCTAGAAGCCAACAGCGTCATTGCCGCCAAAGCCAATTGCGAAGCTCGCAAGTCGCAACTGCGCCCACCCCGCAACGCCTCCTATTTAAACTCTTATATAATCACACATTTAACCCACTCACTTCTTTAAGACATCATATCCACCCACGACGTAACAGTCACCGTGAGGTCTTCTTATTTCTGCCTCTGGCACGTGCTGTTAAATATCGTCGGTTCTATTCTGTAAATGCAATTGCTATTTGGAATAAACTACCAATGAGTGTAAAAACTCTGAAAAATTATCCTTTATTTAAGTCAGTTTAAGTCAGTTTTAAGTCAGTTTATTAAGGGAATGAGGCTTTCGCCCTTGAGCACCCTATTCATGTCGATAAACAGAAATAAAGTCATCAATTACATCAGCAAATGCGAAAAGTTAAGAAGTTAGCGGTAAGTGTGAGCCAGGCGCAAACTGCCGCCGCTAAAACAATCATGATTGTATGTACAGTAGGTTCTCAACAAGTGAGCGTCTAGTCTGCACTTAAAGGATTTAACACTTTCGGAAAGAACGACGGCATCAGGGAGTCCATTCCATGCCCCGATGACCCTGTGTGAGAAGGCGTTCCGTCGGACGTCCGAATGAGCCCGCTTCCTTTGCAGTTTGAACGGATGACCACGCAGACGGTCAGTCCGGGCCAATTCAAACAATTCATCAAAATCTAGGGCACACTCACGGCTTCTGACAATCCTGTAGGTTTGAATGAGATCGCCGCGCAGTTGCCTGTAATTTAGAGGAAACAGATTTAGTTCAGTCAGCCTGGTTTCGTAAGGCAAATGATGAAGATTCTTGACCATCTTCGTAGCCATCGCCTGTACTCTTTCCAGTCGTTGATAATCTTTCTTTAACCACGGTCGCCAGGCCTGGACTGCATGCTCTAAGTGAGACCGGACGAATGCCCCATAGGTTTTTCCGAACAGCTCCTTGTCGATCTGCACAAATCCTCGCCTCAGCGCAAATAACACCCTTATCGCACTTTTGGCTGCCCTTTGACACTGTGAAGATGGTTTCAGCGAGGAGGTCATTAGGACTCCCAGGTCTTTCTGTTCCACAACATTTGAAAGGGACTGACCACCAAGGACATATTGAAAGGAATCGTCCTCCTTACTGGTCTGTCTGGTGCGGAGTCTCAGGACCACACATTTGTCCACATTAAAATTAAGGAGCCAGCGAGCTGACCAACTGTTTAGGCGGTTGAGACTGTCTTGAAGCGCGTACCTGTCTGCGTCAGATCTGATGGGTCTCCACAGCTTAACATCGTCAGCAAACATGATGGCGCTGCATCCCAGGTCGTCGACGCAGTCGTTAATGTAAACCAGGAATAGCAACGGCCCTAAGACGGAGCCCTGGGGTACACCACTTAGAACGGGGGTAGGAGTTGACCTTGAGGCCTCAATGCACACGGTTTGTGATCTCCCGGTAAGAAAATCTGTTATCCATGTCAGCAGCCTTCCTCTTATCCCAATTTCAGAAAGTTTGTAGATAAGGCGTTTGTGTGGGACGCTGTCGAACGCCTTCTTAAAGTCTGTGTATATAACATCAACCCTCCCATCCTCATCCAGTGCGCGAGTCCACTGCTCCGTCGAGAGCAATAAACTGGAAAGACACTAGCGGTTCTGTCTAAAGACGTGCTGCAGGTCTGAGATTAAATGGCCCTGCTCCAGGAACTCCATAGTTGCTTTCTTAACTATGGCCTCCATTATTTTACAGCAGATGCAGGTTAGACTAACAGGTCGGTAATTGTTAGCATTAGTGCGAGCCCCGCCCTTGTATATCGGAAAGATATTTGCTGTTTTCCATTCCGATGGCAACCTCCCTAATTCGAATGACGAGCGGAAGATGTGCGCCAGTGGTTTGGAAAGTTCATTCGCCAGTTCCTTCAAGAATTTGGCCGGTATATTGTCTGGACCCGAGGACTTTGCTTCTTTGAGATTTTTCAGCTCCCTTTCCACGGCAGCTGCCGGGAAGAGTATGGAGTCAAGCACGGGACCAACAGTCTCAAGAGCATTGCCGGAACTGCGACAGCCAAACTCTGTTTCTCTAGTAAAAACGGAGGCAAAATACTGTCCTAAGTGTTCGGCTTTCTCGTTGTTCTCAATGATCTCTACACCATTATCATCCTTCAGCACCGCGACCGGGTCCTTATTTTTCAGTCTACTGTTCAGATAGTGAAATAAAATCTTAGGCTTCTGTTCAGCCTGTCGTATAATTTTGGATTCATACTCCTTCCGTGCCTGACGCATACATTTTTTGACGGCGTTTCGTTGACGACGAAATTCTTCGAAATGCGCTGGTGACGCAGTTTCCCTGAATATTTTCCATCTTTTGCTTTTCTTCCGTAGCTGCTTATTTAGGTCCCTAGTTAACCAAGCAGGTCGACTAGTTGTTTTTTGTACTTTAGGTGGACTATTACTCGATTTTTGCATTCAGAAAAGCTTCCTCAAATTTTGGGTTCTGAATCCACTGATCGACTGGTTGGATTTGTGTTTAATCTCTTCCCTTGACAATGCCTGTAAACTGGCATTTAATAAATTAAATTAAACTAACCGTCCCTGACCTGCGCACGCTACCAGAGCACGTTCCGAGCTCCAGTCGGCCTTATAGGACACCTTTTTAACAACTGCAGCATCCGGACTACATCAGCTACTGCCTCCCCATCCAACTCTGTCTCATCCCCTCACCGACGAGAAACACTGATCATACTCACGAACCCCCAGTACCATCCTCTTCCTTTTTCTTCTTCTTCTTCTTCTCCATTCCCTTAACGTCCAATCATTAACATACCTTAATTCCTACGACTGGACTGATTTCTTCCTTAGTTCAGATGTAAATGTTTGCACTGCAAAACTGTACGAAATTTTGGATCCGCTTATTTCTCGTTGAGTCCCCGTTAGAAAATAATTAATCTTGGGGATTAGGTTTTCCTACCCTTACCCTTTCGTCACAGATTGCGCAGACTATATCGCCGATTCCATCTTCATAACGACGTTTCTGTCCTGCCCTTGATTTGTGATATTTTTGAGCGGGCCAAGAGATTGTCAGAAAAATAACGGCTAGCCGAGGAGATCCACTTTACCGAAAACCATTCGTTAAATGTCTCGAAACTTTTCTCTAGAAAAATACGAACTCAGAGAAAGACGCAGTATCCCATCCTTCGAGACGATCTCGGAAATCCCATAGTTTATGCCCAGTTAACCGCGGATAGCTTCAATGATTTCCTGTCCAAAACGTTCATTGAAGACCCGACCACTCCGCTTCCGATCATCCAGGCACTGACTGGGGCAGTCCTAAAAACTATAACTTTCACTCTGTGGGATATGACTATTGCGATTCGGCGTTTTCGTCAATCTTATAGTCCAGGACCTGATGGTGTCCCAGTAAGCATTTTAAAAGCCGATGCAAATACGATTTTCCCATCCCTCTTATGCAAGATATTTAATCTCGCTCTTGAAAGTGAAACTTATCATACTTTGTGGAAGGAATCACACATTTTGCCCATTCCTAAGCACGGCAAATCTACATCATTTAAAGACTTTCGTCCAATAAACACCCTCCCCGCAGTTTCGAAGATCTTAGAGACATTGATCAAAGATAAGATGATGTGTCACTTAACAGCGAATAACCTACTGAATGCTGCTCAGCATGGATTCCTCAAAGCTCGATCTTGTGACACCTGTCAACTCTCTTTCTTTGACTATGTTCTCCAATCTAGGAACAATGGTTTTGCACTTTACACAGTATATTTCGATTTCGCCAAAGCTTTTGACCGTGTTGACCATGCTCTTCTTCTCTTGAAACTGTCCTCTTTCGGAATAGGTGGCAAACTTTTGAATTTTATATCCTCTTACCTGGGCACTCGTACACAACGAGTTAAGATTTCCAATACTATCTCCAACCCCACATGTGTGAGGAGTGGAGTCATTCAGGGTAGTGTACTCGGCCCGCTTTTATTTTGCCTTTTTGTTAATGATGTACCCGATTTATTTCAGAATGGTAAGCCTTTCATGTATGCCGATGATCTGAAAGCTGCATGTCGATATAAGCTGGCAGATCATGACATCGTGCTTGAGCTCCTGAAGAGCGACCTACAGGCTTTCGCCCAGTGGTGCCGCACATGGCGCCTTTCTCTTTCCTGGCATAAGTGCTCAGTCATGGTGGTTGGCGACGACCGCCAACCTCAACTAAATATTGAAGGTCACGTCATAAATGTGCCTGGGGTTATTAAGGATTTGGGCGTATCATACTCCAAGAGTCTCAATCTCTCGGAGCACTGTGCCTTGATAGTCTCCAAAGCACGTAGAACGACCGGATTTATCCTCTGAAACTTCAAAACTAGGGACATTAGAATGCGCCTTTACAACATGTACGTCAGACCTGGCCTGGAATACTGTTCGTTCTTATTCAGCCTTATGCGTGCTACTGAGTGGAAGAAAATAGAATCCGTTCAACACTTCTTACTAAGAGAGTCTTAGCCCTGGAACACCGACATTTGTCTTACCAAGAACGTTGCCAGCTTACGGGTCTTGATTCTGTATGGTTCCGTAGATTACAAAAGGGACTATTTTTTCTATTTAAACTCTTATATAATCGCAAATTTAACCCACTCACCTCTTTAAGACATCATATACACCCACGACGTAACAGTCACCGTGAAGTCTTTTTATTTCTTCCTCTGGCGCGTACTGTTAAATATCGTTGGTTCTTTTCTGTAAATGCAATTGCTATTTAAAATAAACTACCAGGAATGTGAAAACTCTGCAAAATTATCCTTTATTTAAGAGAACTATAACTCGACTTTTGCATTCAGAAAAGCTCCCACAAATTTTGGATGCTGAATCCACTGATCGACTCTACCGTAGCGATGGCATTTTTGGACTCTGAACGCTATGCCCTGTCTCACCATGGACAATTCCGTTGGCCAGCAGCGACAGCTGTTCCTCAACGCCTCTACTTTGACTATCCCCAACTTCATGAAAGGAAGTGACGTCCGATAATCTCCGATACCGTGCCACTCCCTCCCCCTTCTTGACGGTCGAAAGTCTGCCACCGGCAGTTTTTTCTCCTGAGCCCTAAAAACCATAAAAACCACCATCAACTATATTTTTCTTCCTTTACCTCAGGAGTTTTTTTTCACTGCTGGTCGGATTTCTGTTTAACGTTTTCCTTTACAATGCCTGTAAACTGGCAGTAAATAAAATTATTATCATTACGGCGACTCCTGTACCTACCACCACTGCAAAAAATCCGGGCACACCAACAAACACCTGCCTCCTCACCGTCAACGCCGGCGATGAGTACCTGCTCAATACATGTTTTCATTGCGACCCCACCTTCATCTCACACATCGGCCTGGTCGGTCACTTCCGAGTCCTTCGCAAATAGGCTGGCGAACCAGTGCCTGGAGCACCAACCTACACTCGCCGCGCTCGCCCTCACTGTCCACACTGCCTTTGCACATTCTCTCACCGTAGGGGCCTGTCGAAGTGAAGTATGGTCAACAACCAGGAGGTTCCCTAATGAGAAGTCAGGGAGGATAATTGGTGACCCCTTACGAAAGGCTATCTTCCGTCTTCTCAATCTACGATATAGTCAGGCGTTGACAGTGGAAAGCTTTTCATTTGAAGTTTAGCATATTTTGTCACCTGTTTCTAGCATTTTTTTGGCTGAACGACATAATCACTTGGCCTAGCACCTTGGGGAGATGCATGATTTTACGAAGCCATCACATTCCGCGCTCTCAGCCTCCTCAGGTTCTCTTGTTTCTCATGTCTCGGACCTGAAGTCTTAGCTTGCCCAGCTTGCCAAGGATCCAGTTTCTCTTCAGGCATAGGCAGTCTGCTCATCACCGAGTTCATCTCCCCGGCATTTCCATTCCACATATTCAGCCCAATCCAACACAGCCGCCACCTGTTGATGCCACACCACCTTTGGTGTCAATGCCCGACGCTGCATCTCTCCATGTTTCTTCGCCTCCAAGCAGCGCATACTGGTCAAACAGGTCAGCCCCAAGGTCTGCGCAAGTAGTCTCTCTAGCATCTCTACCCCTGTTCGAACATTCTACGTCTGCGATACCCGGAGTGGCAGACGTTTCCTGGTCGATACTGGTGCTCAACTGACTGTCATCTCCCTAACAGCAACTGACCGTCGGGGTCATCAGTATTGCGACAGGCTAGGCCGAGACTGGGACCCCGGACACCACGACCCTCAGGCTCGGTTCCGAATGGAAAGATGATATAGACACCAGGAGGGAAGATGATGTATTCTGTACAGAATAACTGGAGGAGTTAAAGAGATTTGGCAGACGGACGAGACCACGTCCGGCTCCGGGTGAGCGGCGTCCGAAACGTGTGAGGGGATACGCCACAGTGTCTTAACTTAGACCACGCCTGAACCGGCCTTGAATCCGATTTATCGGCTGGAAAGCCGAGTAAGCGAATGCCAGACGGCCATGATGCGCATGCGCAGACACTCGCGAGAGGCCCAGCGCTGAGACAGGCACGCGGAGTGGGGCCACTACAGGCCTCTCCGGTCACATGCATATCGACGAGAGCGGAATTGACCGTAGCCTCGACACACCTAGCACCTACTGAACGCTCACCATGCCTAGCACAACCCTCATCCCGCCGCCCAGACCACCCCCCATCATCAGCTCCACCACACTCAGCACATCCTGCGCACCAACCATCTCTAGCCCAACTGACACCCCACCGTCCAGTGCGTCCAACACCAACAACTTCACCACTGCCACCAGCTCCGAAACCGATACGGGCATCGCCGACTTTTCTTGCCCACAATGTCCCCGTTCACTCACCACACATATCGGCCTGGTCGGTCACTTGCGGATCCATCGCACAGAGACTGGCGAACTAGTGCCTGGAGCACCCACATACATTTGCCGCATCCGTCCAAACTGTCCTCACTGCACCCGCAAATTCACCCACTGTATGGGCCTATTAGACCACATGCGCATTCATAAAAATTTGAGGTAGACAACCACCGGCTAAACCACACCATCACATCTTCCCCACCTACATCACACAACATCACCCACCA